TTCAATTAAACATGAAGTTACTATTACCATTGTCAGGGGAAGCCAAAAGGACAAAGCATATAACAAGTCTCTTTACTAACCAAAATGATGTTGACCATAGTTCAGATCTCTTAGCAACTTTACATATTCGGCTTTAAAATTATCAAAAAGTCATGATCAGTCAGTCATTCAAGAGAGAGACGAGAAACCAGAAAGGTTCTTCTACATAAGACGACCCCATTTAGTCGTTACTGGAGAAGGCACTATAGATGACAAGGAGAGGTTATCTGAGATTACTTGAATCCTACACTTGGATGAAGATACTCTAGGATGCCACTGAAGCTGAGATGACACTTCATTCACATCTTCGTCGAAAGATGTATCATAGTATAGTATAAGTTGCTCAAGATTCGGCATTGTCTCTAGGAAGTGTTTGACCTGCTTTATCTGCTCCTCTATGTCATCATCATCACCAAAGATTTCTCCAAACTGCGATATCTTTAGAACCTTCACCGGACTCGATGATAAGAAAGTAGGATTGCCCTCCCAAAGTTTGCACAAGCACTCATCCTCTTCTCCACAGTTAATAAATTTGTGATGTAGTCCCTGCAGCATAAAGGACACAATTTTCAAAATCTAATTTGGTTTAAAAAAATGTGTTAGCAAACGCAGTAAAGAATGTGTTGGTACTTCAAAGACGAGGGTTTCAAGTTTTGGACAGTTCTTGAGCAGAGCCGGCAATGATTTCCAAGATACATCTGGGTCAGTCTTAATGGTTAAGTGAATCAGATTGTTGAATTCCGGTATCGGTTTACAACAGTAAGTAAGTACCTGAAACAAAACCAAATCAATAAGGTCATCAAACTCTTAGCCCTTAAACCAAATTATACTACCTGAATAAAACTATAAAAATATACTAAGAGTGAAAATGGGACTGACCTCAATAGTGTTATCAGACAAGTAAAGGATCTTAACATTGCAAATTCCCATAAGAAAATCTGTTGCATTACCAACCATCTCTTCCGGATGTGATATATCATCATTTGAAAAATTCGCAGTGACGATCTGATCAGTTGTCATCCGAAGATTGAGACTAGCATCAACAAGCGACTTAAAATTCACTTTCGGATACTCGTCTGCAATAGTATCATAATACTCGTCTGCAATAGTATCATAATTTTTGGAAGAAAAACATGTTTCACATCAATGGCGAGAAGATCTCTAATTCCTATCTTAAGCCTAACCAAAGTCTCGCTCACAAACATCTCCGAAGGAAGCGAACAACCCAATTCCGTGGAGATTTGAAGATCAAGATCTAATACACCACGACCTATCACCTTGAGTATCCAACCAATGACAATAGGTGGATGAACAAGATCTTCACACTTAAGAGAGAATCTGTTTAAAGAAACATTATAATGCAAAACCAATACTCTGTCCACAAAATCCACAAAATTTCTAGGGATTTTACTCTTTTTTGTGGTTATCCAAGGAAAAGTAATCTTCTTTTGGTTACCCATTTCAGGATTTAGATAAACAGAGTCATCGAAATCAAGATTAGGTGTATGAGCAAAGAGATATCTCCAACTTTTGGCTAGAACAGAAGTTGAAGCAGCTTCTTTAATGGGAACGAAAGACAAAATGTGAGAAATAAGACAATCTGGTAAACCACTGATTAAGTCTCTGGAACCAAGATTCATCATTTTGGAAGATATAGCGACCACAAATCAATAATCACTTAAAAGCCTGAACAAAGACATGAATTTGAGTTGAGAAATTTTGTAACAAATCAATAATCAATTTTCAAAATTACACTAGCATAAGCACACACGATCAGAAGAAGAGACAAGTAAGGAAACTATTACCTTGATGTTTAAAAGCATAAACAATGAAACATAATTGTCACCCAAAATTTGAGAGGAGAGTGGAAGTTGAAAAAATGATAAGTTAGGTTCTTGTAATCGCCCAAGACAGGATTGGCCTTATAATATAATTTTTATTTGTGCTTTTGTTATCATTTTGTCAACAAATATCATATTTGATTTTTTTTTTGGTTTATATTTGTGGATATCTTTTCTCTGACATATGGAGGATTTGCTCAAGAGTCTAAGCAAGAATGATGTGACGTCGTTCGGCGGGAATTTAATGCGCTCTAACCATCATCATTAGTTGAGAAGATTGTGTTTCGAGATCTTTAATTAATTTGTAAGGTGACAAATAGAATGAGAGATCAGTATAAGCCCAATCTTGATCATCTATTCATAAATCATAGCCAGTTAAAAATCAAATAAGTTCAAGTTAGGAATAAATGGTAACAGCTTAATCTGCAGAATTTTTGATAACTATTTGTTGAATAAAATGGTAATAGCTGAATCTAACAGAATGTGGTAGTATTTTTGAAACTAAATTAATAAATTGAACTTATGAAAATATTTATTAAAATTATATTTGTCAAAACTAAATATTAAAATTTATAAATATATTAAATTTTACGAAAGTAATAACTTTTATTAAATTATTTCACAAACCCAAGTTATTTTGTTAATATTTTCATTTTATAAATTTGGTTAGTAAAATTTACAAATATTTTTTTATTATTAACTACTATCTTTTACATTTATTTATATGTAACATTATTAACTTATTTTTAAAAAGACGGTTATGTTGTCTATTCGATATAGTTTACCCCTCTTGATCTATTGTGTTATGATTTTTCTTATGTAATATTCATATCTTATCCACTTTTCAATTTTACATATTCTAATTACTTGATCAATATTTGCTATTATCCGATATTTGTTTTCTGATTAAAACGCGTAATATTATGATACGACAAATAACTGATACTAACTAAATATAATGGGTTATTCATTTGTAAAAATACATTTAATTATGGATGTTTAAAACCTAAATATTAAAATTCTAAACCTAAAAAATATTTTGATCCCTAACAAACCTTCAAACTAAACCCAAAGATAAATAATATAATGAATGTTTTGATCACGATGTTATTAGTGATCAACTAATAACCTCGTTTTATCATCGTGATCATTTCTTAATTCTTAAAGTGACTTGTATGGCAAGTTAAGTTAGAACCTACACCAACTCAGTAATCAATACAACCACATATTTTCCGGGTTGAAATGTTCCTAAATCTTATGTGTTTAAAATAAAAATCCTAAGTTAAATCATTCTATATAGAATATCAAAATGGATCGTAATACTAAGACGACATGTCATACACAAAAAGCGTATATAGAGTTTTTTATTCATCCGGTCCGGTCGGACCAGAACGCATGGGCGGCTAAAACCCTATCAAGAAGGTCTTGAGGCACTGGTTCGCCTCTCCTTTGCTTTGCTGATATCTTTGCCGTGTGAACCAACGTTTTCCATTTGTCCTGTTTTAAGTTACACAGATGATATTAAAGATGATATCAATATATATATGGAAGACAATTCAGTAATTTAACAACGTCCAAATTATTACAATTTTGATTTAATACAAGGAAATTAAAAAACCTTCAAGCCTTGAAATTTGGAGCTTGATAAGATTACCTTCCGGTGCCGAGCCTCTCTAAGGCATCAACCAAAGCTTCTACTTCTGAGACAGTGAATGGCCGTCTGATTCTCCTTTGAACCATCTCTGACCGTGATGCCGGTTTCATGCGCACCGGAACCACGGCTTTAGCTACCACCGTTTCAATGCTCTCCATGGACCCCGGAGCCCTAATTTTTTTTGTTTTTAATAAAGTTAATTATATGATATTTCTGACAGATTTAATAAAGAAGGAAAAACTACTAATAACATAGAGTTAGAACTTTTACACTTGTATAATGTTTTACATTAGTTTTGAACATTTGATCGGTGTACCTAAGACGCGTTTTGGGGGAAGAAGAGATTAACGTTCTTGTTGTTGTTTCTGATGATCGCGGTTCTAGCGTGAATCCCAAAGAGCTGAGGTTGTGGTCATCATCATCATCACGAGGGATCCCAATCTGAAGAAGTGTTTTGGAGTCATCAACGATGGTTTTACCTTGAAGAAGCACTCCTATGTTTATTCCATCCTCAAGAATCCGTGTTACTGCCTCATGTACTGCTATTTTCAGTGAACCGACCGTCGCTGATTCGGAAATGTCCACCAATAGCTCTGAGATTTTCAACGATTTGATACCGAATTTAACCGAATATACGACAAATAGAATTGTTATAAAAAAATAACATTAAATAACTGTTCATATAAATCTGATCTGAAATAGGTATCCATACCGGTACTTGGAGCATCACATGATTCAGGTCGATGATTTTGGTTAAACAACTTTCTTTTCTTCAATGGATACATATTCTGCGATTCTTGGCTACTACACGAACCTCGCCCTTTCGTGTAACACATCTTTCTTTTCCCATCTAATCCATTTAAAAGCTTTTTAAAAAAATCAATTTTGAATGTTAAAAAGCTTGCGGTACAGATAAAGCTAGCGAGTCACTTTATCTTACCAATCTCGGAGTTTCCTTCTTCTGTGATTGGAGAGCTAGATATGGAAGGACCTAAAGCTAACCAGTCCTTAGACAATAACACCGGAGAAGGTTTTTCTCGACCAAGTTGAGGCTTAACCTTAACTTCCATTGTCTCTAAGAAGTTATTGACGAAGAAATCTTCCTTTGGTTCATGGGCTATAGCAACTCGGTTCTTGCAATCGCCTGGCAATTTTCCGACCACTTGGGCTAAAACCTCGGACTCGGATCTAAGTTTTTTCTTCCATTTTTGCCTGCGTCCCTGGATAATAAAAAATATATGGAGTGAGCCAATTGTTTGTAACTTGTGAACGAAGAAATCTTGTTGATATCTATATACACGCACCCTGGGTGATCTACAAGCCCTAGGAACCACAGGAAGTTGGTAGGCATCGAAACCACAGTCCACCATGTTCCTTGCGACACACGCAAGTACAAATTGCTTACGTTAAGCCTGAAACTGCGCTTTTTTTTTTTTATCAAATGTATACAAAAATCAGATCATCGTGTTGAAAATCTAAACAAACAAACATTGGATATATGATCACATTACACTACACAACCTTATGATTGTGTCTCTTTCGTTTCATTGAATGATTGATTTTGTGCGAGAAAACAAAAGTGAGATTTATGTTAGAAGTTAGAACTCGTTTGNGGGAAATAAAATATATAGAGAGATATGAGCCGTAAAACATCCGCCTTTAAAGTTGGGTTTGTGTCTGAACAAAAACCCCATGAAACCACAAAAATTCTTTACAGCAAAGTTTCAGAAATATATGAAAGTCAATTTTCACAATACTTGTCAACGTCTAATTAGTCTCAAATTATCAGTAAATTAATAACGTATTTCGAGTTTTTTTTTTTTTGTGGGGCTAAAACTAACCAACGGTTTTTTTTAGCTTTAGCCCTAAAACCATCCTCCGAACACTTTGGACCAGTTCTTCTGTTCCGGGTTAGGTGATCCACTACTTCTTTAACATCGATCATGATTCTGACACGTGGATGATTGTCCATTATTTTTGGATAAATCTCATCACATTCAGAAAAGTCTAATATATATATATTTTCTTCTTGTGAACAATAAAAAAACTATCTGGTTTCTTTTCGGGTTTTGGATAAATTACGTGGCACAATGGAATGCTGTTTGAATCGAAAACATGTTAAGATAAAACTGGCAATCAGTTAGACGAACGTGTTGAATAATGATTGCATTATAACAATGGTATTAGAGGATTAATGTACAACTGAAATAATAATAACGTTGAAATTATATGTGAAATCAATATTAGTAAAAAAAATATAGTGTTAGACTCATGTTAATTTTTTGTTTTTCTAAACATTTGTAGGAGAACTATACATAAATCTTTAAACATTTGTAGGATTAGAAGCCCTTCATGAAAATCAAATGCTCCTTATATCCCTTACTCCTTCATTTCCCTAACTTGATTTTCCGAATTCCGGTTTTCCCATCCACCACTATTCCAACAATCATTATTACCCCAACCTACATCCCCCCATCCCTTACAAGAGCAACCTCCCCATATGGATCTCCTTTTGCCCATTAACTTGTGACCAAAACCGCTTTTTCTCATTACTCAATTGTCTCTTCGCAGGCAGTCATTCCAAGTGATTACATTACCTTGGTACTCGCAGAGCCGGATCTGAGATTTTTGGGTCCTATAGAAAAAAGAAATTACTAACATTTAG